GTTATGAGTTTGAATCATTTAAAGAAGCAGATGCAAGTAGTTTTTATCTTCTTAAAGACAAGTTTGTTTATTCAGTCTTAAAACATGAAGTTGATTGCAATATTATTGGGCCATTGCTATTCACTTGTGTATATGACTCATATGGGTTTGGATTTGCATACTTGGAATAACCACAAGAACCCAAGTCGAAACCTAGACTAATCTCCAGATTTTGTAATTTTTATGTGACTTTCGAATGATGCTCTATATCTGTTTGAATTTGGCATCCATTTGATCTATTTTTTTACCGATTAACATATTTAAAAACGAACTTGCGATAAGAACTGTTTATACCAAAAAAGTATGCTCATCCAAAATGATTAATAGATTTGTCAATCACCTTCAATTTAGAAACAAGAGGGAATGGGCGATGAAATGATATGAAAACAATTGAAAGGGGTCTAAGAAATTGGATTGGAGTTATACACAGTAAGGAGTGGAGCCCATTATTAGCCCAAATGTAAATGACAAATCTTTAAACCAAAAACATTCATTGTGATGTTGAGTCTCTTTATTACCATCAGTCATCATAATTCAACCTTCCTCGGGGCGGAGTTAGATTGTTTTCTTTTACTTTGAGGTTACTAGGTTAGTGTTTTTATAAATTTAACTATTATTATATTTTAAACAAAAAATTTAGTATTATTTTTGTAAAAAAAATTATAAGTCTAACTAGCGAAAATATTGTGCAAATCTCTTTAGTCTAAGAGCATGTATAGTGGAGGATTTTACCAAGTTTCTTAACATTAAAAAAATAACAAAAATGAAAAAAAGGAAAGAGAGAGAACTAAGGATCAATCCTTAAAATTCTTAAACAATAAACTTTCTAAATTTGTAAGAAACTTTGGTGCCAAATGGATAGTTATGATTAGTTCAACTTTTTTAATTAATTATATAATTTTATTTTATTTTAAAAATTAATATAATATTTGTAAGAAAATTTTGAGAGAACCTATACTATTGAACATGCTCTAAGAGCATCATTATCCATGAGATTTGGTGGGTATCATTAGATATAAAATTATTAAAATTTGAGTAAAAGAAAGAAAGAGAGTGTTTTTGGTTGAAATAATGGAGTGTATTGAAATATAAAATAGTTAGCGTTGTGCATGTAGATTCTAAAGTGGCACCCGCGGTGAATAATAGAAAAAAAATATTTTTATATTAAGTTTGATATACGATTCTAAAAATAGTTAGCGTTGTGCATGTAGATTCATTCATCGGATCCAATATTGTAACGGTAAACCTGCCCATACTTAATTCAAATAGTATGTTAGGATTTCGGTTTCAATATATCAGTCCCATACACAAACAAGCCCACACGCACGCACCTACGTAACGTCTCCCATAAATTAAACTCTCCTTTTCCAACTAAGTATTTCCTCACACATTGCTGTAAACCATTAATATCTTTGTTGACATTTCGAAATTTTATTGTTCAGTCAATTAAATTCTTGTCTGTCCTTCGCGACAAAGTTTCCATTTTAAATCCATATAAACCTATTTTTTTATATGCAAACATAAAAATTTTAACAGTGCCACAAGAATATACACTTCTTTCATGTGCGATAAGAATTTTCTTAAATAGTACTAGTAATAAACAATGTTGTGATAGGGGCTAGTGTAGTTACAATTTTGATTATATTTTACCAAACATAGCTTGTTTTTTGTTATAACGAAATATAGGTAGATATGTCTTAGATCTTATGGATAATATATGGATATAGTTGACCCAGTATGTGTACCTTTCGATGACTGACTTCGACAATGTAGGTATAGATTGACCAAGTTTGCTACTTGTAAACAACACACAAGAGGGACACATCAAAGCCTAATCACTACACTAACATGTAAGTTTCCAAGAAATCGCGTTTACTTATAGGAATCATTATCATTCCGTGTACATGTTGCGTGTTTTTAATTCCTCCAACTTGTACGGACATGAATTAGACATTAACTAACTCAACTTAAAACCCACATATTTTGTCTTTTGGATAATAATGAAATCCAATAAATTAAATAGTCAGATGACGTTTGTTACCTAAATTCCGCAGTAATAAAAAAAAAATAGACGGAACAATAAAAAAAACATTCTGTATTCATATAGTGGCCAAAAGTAATTAGCATGCGTATAACAGATCAATTTCTAACTTCGATCAAAACAAAGACTATTGAAACTAAAGATCGAGTTTGTTCAACGGTACCAACACTCTTGTCATCCGAGTCAAAAGTACGACATATATAATTGGATAACATTTGAAAAATTTGTCACAATGAAAATTATCGAGCTGTTTTTGTACTTATTTAGAAAGAAAGAAGAGACAAAAGAAGTAATGTAAAATTGAAGATGGATAGCTTGAAGAAGGGCCCTACGTTATGGAGGAGGTGAAGCAAATTGGTCCATAGAGTGTCTCTCCTAGGAAATTCCTGAGGATCGGAGCAACGTGAACGTCACGTTAGTTGTCACTCAATCTGAAGTTGACACAAATTCATTATCAAAAATAATAAATATTTATACATTGGTAATACTAGAAAACCCACTCCATGGAAATTCACATCGTGTCTGTTAATTATATTTTGCGTCAAATAATATGTGACAATGTCAGTGTAGGACATATATGCGCCTGGGCTTTCACGTGCTCATTCCTCACTACATCCCTTATCATTTATTTCTTAAAAATTTGGATCATTCGTCACACTAGATATTGAGCTCCGAAACAAGCATTAAAAAAAAAAATCAATTGAAACCGCTAGATTTAAGTATTTACATCGTTACACCATTACACCAATGCTTTCAAATGTAGCGGTTTCAGTTGATTTTTTTTTTTTTGCATCATTTACATAAAAGTAAAATCACTGTCCATAAATCTAAAGTATTTACACCGTTACACCAATGCTTTCAAATGTTTAGACCCATTCTAATTGTGTACATTTATTTTGTTTTTCTTCTCTCCCATAAAACGT